GGCATTCCTTATAAAAACCCTAATCTACTTTCCCTTCACTCCATCACTAGTGGAGAGCATCCATGGCGTCTTCTTCTTCCTCTTCGCTCTTCTGCTACCTCTTTCTCTCTGTTCTCTCAGTCTCTTCAGCACTGGCGAGTAATCCCGGCGGCGGGTGCTTCATTAACGCAATCTACAGCTTCGGCGACTCGATTGCCGACACCGGAAACCTTCTCCGAATGGGTCCGGGGGGCGTCTTCAATCCCATTGGGCATTTGCCCTATGGACTTAGCATGAAGAAGAGAACCCCCACAGGCCGGTGCTCTGATGGCCTCCTTATAATCGATTATCTTGGTGAGGGTTCCTAACTTCTTCTTTTTTTTCTCCTTTGTTTGTGATTGATTTTGGTTAGGGTTTGAAAGTTATTGAAGTTATTTTGAGATGAATGTGATATTAATTATGAATGGTTTTTTTAATGTGTTATACTCTTCTTAAAATGAAGTGTCAAAATAGTTCCCATACTATTTATTTGGGACAGTTTTAGTCTCAGAATTTATAGAAATGTTAAAATAATCTCCGGGCACTTTAAATTGGAGCTGAAATAGTTCATGTGGAGCAGGGGTCGACCTAGGTAGGGTATAGGAGGGGCAATTACCCCCATCAACTTAAAATTTTTACTTATATAAGAGGACAATTTGGTATTTTGACCCTTCTAAAATATCACTTTTGTCCTGAAATATCACTTTGCCCTTCGTCGCTCTTACCCCTCACACGATCCCCCCCACACCCGTCCCTCAAAATTGACATCGATACTTTTATACACTCTAGGACTAAAACGGCTTTATGTAAATAGTCTGGAACTATTTTGACACTTTTGTCAATAAATTTACTAGAATATAATAGATAGGGGGACATATTTATAATATCTACAAACCACATTAACTTTAAAAAAAAATCATTTTTTCCTAGCAATTCACAATTACTTTTATAAATAATAACTTTTTAAAAAAATAATCATTTTTTTCCTAGCAATTCACAATTACTTTTATAAATAGCTACAACAATCCCAAACAACCCCTTAGTTGTAGGTCAATTCTTACGATAAGATCACTAGGGGTATCTAGATCTAGAAGTTATTTCATGAAAAGATTTTTTAAAAAAAATTCATAGTTTTTGTTGCTCTTTCTTCACTAATCTTATGAAGAGTTAGATGATACATCAGGAAAGTTTGTGCTGTAATTCTCCATGGTTGAATCGAAATCTACAGCGGCGATAAGAATGGTTGAATTCGCTAATTTCTTTTCAATATTCGTTCTTTTTTCGCTCCTCGCTTTTGAATTTAAGTTTGATTATTTTCCAACCCTTTCTACAATCAGCAATGGCTCTGAATCTTTCACTGATCAACCCCTACATGGATAAAACATCAAAATTTGATGATGGAGTCAATTTCGCCGTCGCTGGAGCTACAGCTCTTGATGTGCCATTCTTCATGTCAAATGATGTTATCATGCCCTATGCTGCAAGTTCTATTGGAATTCAGCTCAGCTGGTTCAATACCCATCTCAGTAGTGTTTGTTCAACAAGGGAAGGTATTTAATCATAAATTTTGCAGAAATTGACATACTAAATTATAAGAAGATTTACATAGATACCACATAATTCCCTTGCATTTACATATATAACACCTAAACTTCAATTTTTACGTATATCTGACCTTTTACCTATGCATGAAAATGTGTGTTTTTATGTGATATGAGAGATTTGGGGGGTATAAATGTAAATAAATAAAGGTTAGTGGTAGACATGTAAATATAATGTTTTTGAGTGGTATGTATGTAAATTTAGTATTTTGCCATTTAACTGAGAAGATATGCAGAATGTAGTAAGAAGCTTGAGAGGACTCTTTTCTTGCTTGGAGAAATTGGGGGAAATGACTACAGCTTTGCATTCTATCAAGGGAAATCAATCGAAGATGTTGCAACTTTTGTTCCACAAGTTGTTCAACTCATAGTAGACGCAGTCAAGGTGAGTTGTTTATCTGCAAGGTTTAGATTAAATTTTCATAAATATTTCCTTAGTCTCATAAATTCTATAATCTTTTCAAATTTTATTTTCCTCCCAAATTAGGCTAAATCACAAAGGATTAGAATTTAAGAGATTTAAATATATTTGATATCTTTCGTGCCAAGTAATTTTCAAAATTTGACAATAATCCTACTTATATAGAGCACCCTCGAACATGATACCACTATTGTGTACAATAATCATTTTCATTTCTGAATAATGTCTGTTGAATATAAAAATGTCCGTAAATCACTTTCAAGGAATATAGCATAAATAAGAAGAGAGAGAGAGAGAGCTTCTATAGTTGAGCTATATTCTCTTGGATGAACAGTAAAACGGGCAGAGAGCTTTTTACAATAAATGCTTCTCTTATTTATAGAAGATTTAGCACAATAGTAAGTCCGAATTTGGATGGGATTTGTGTTGGGTATTTCAAATATTTTATAAGCAACTACTCATTATTTGGTCACTTTTTAGCTCGGTCATCCCAGCTCAATCACTTGGTCGGTAGAGCTCGATCAGCTTAGCTCGCTCGGTCGATTATCTTGTTTGCTAGGGCTCAATCAGCTTGGTTCGCTTGTTGAACTTGGTGGGCTCAAAGATCCTCTTTCTAACGAGAAGTTTTTTGATATCCGTTGGATGTCCGAGGACGTTGTGGAATAGTCCCTTCCCTCGGGTGGGCTCTCCTGCAGGATAAGCTTTTGACTCTGCTTTCCCTTAGGTAAAGGTTCAGACATCTTTCTGGTGAGCATCAAGTTGACTCACTTTGTTGTTACGAGTTGGTCATCCTCACGTCAGTTTTTTACTAGGTTAGCTTGGCTTGGCCTGCTCGATGGGTCCTAGGATCTCCTTGCACGGGATCTTCCTCCATCATGCTTTTCGATATGGTCCTTAGCTTGGCCTGCTCGATGGGTCTCACGATCTCGTTGCACGGGATCTTCCTCCATTACGCTTTTTGATCGATATGGACCATTAAATCCCCATTAGATATGCACTAACACCATTTTGATGTATAATTTCTTACTAAAAATGGAGCATTTACATACCACACAATTTTTATTTATTTACATATCTAACACTTAAACTTTCACATTTACATTTACAGCACTTAAAACCTTAACATCACATAAAAATATCACTATTATTAAGTCTTTTAAAACCGAAAGACACATTTTCCCCGCGTAAGTTTACGACACCAAAGCATTATAAGCATAAATATCAAACTTTAGATACGTGAATACGGAAGTATTGCATGGTATGTATGCAAAATTGCCTACAAAAAGCCTTTTTTTTTTCTAATTTTTGCTATATTTTACAACAGCATGTGATTGAAGCTGGAGCTGTTCATATTATTGTACCTGGCAATTTTCCAATTGGATGCTTTCCAAGCTTTTTGGTGAATTATAAAGGCAAAGGTGCAAAAGTATATGACAGAAACAATTGCATCAAGGAGCTGAACACATTTTCACAGGTCCACAACAAGAAACTGCAGAAAGCGCTTGAAAGCTTGGGAGAGGCTTATCCTCACGCCAACATTCTCTATTCTGATTACTATCAAGCTTTCATGAACCTCATTGACAAGGCTTCCATTCTTGGTATGTTTATGCAATTTCTATCTTTTTAAGTATCATATAATGCATTTATACATACACATATATATGTATATCCATTCACATATATATTGATACACATACAGATTTTTTTTTTCTTTTTTAAATGAATGACCAAAGACTATTATACGAGTCTCCAACCATCCCTAATGTGTCTAACAATTCGAGTACCATCTTTTTAATGCCAACTGTGTCATAGTGGATTCGACCTTCCTGAGGGGTCTTATACCGTAGATACCAACCAGGAGGCCGGGATATGCGACATAATAAATATATGTGAAACCTCTAAAATATTCACAACCTAATTGAAATCTCTTATAGGCTTATTATAGCATTAAATGGAAGAAAACAAAATGAATAAAAAAACACACCATAAATTTTTATTTATTTACATACTTGACTTTTAAACTTCACTTTTTACAAATATACCGCCTTACCTATGCATGAAAAAACAAAGGTGCATTTCACTTTTCAAAAGTTAAAATGCTGGTATTTGTTATAGGATATAAAAGATTTGGGGGGGTATGAATATAAAAAAACAAAGTAGCTGTTACATATGTAAATACATAAGAATTGGATGGTATGGTATGTATGTAAATGCCACTAAAAAAAGTTATATTTAGTGTAATTTTATATTTTTTTGGCAGGTTTTGATGAAAGCTCATTACTTAAATCATGCTGTGGGGGTGGTGGACAATACAATTTTGATATAAACATGATATGCGGAATGCCAGGTGCATGGCCCTGCTCTGATCCCTCAAAATACATAAGCTGGGATGGCATTCACTTGACACAAGCAGCTTATAAAAACATGGCCCAAGCTCTGATTGACAAATTTATATTCCCAACCTCCAAGTTTCAGAAAATATGGAAGTGTTGAAAGTAGCAACATGTAAATGCAAAAAAGAAGAGTGAAAATGTAAAATAATTTGAATGATTTGAAATGATGTAAGTAGTGTATGAGGGATTAGTTAAAATCTATATTTGCACTATTTCTAAGGCACATTTAATATTTTTGTGATGTGTTTTGATCTCCAATTTGATAATAATAGCTTGAAGTGCTTTTCTTTTGGGGAAAATTTAGATTTATATGCCCCTCCCTTGTATTTTCATATTTATATGTTTATATATGTGTAGTGCTTGGTGATTTTAATCTATGCATGAAAAGGTGTGTTTCACTTGCAAGCAATGATAATTAGTGCTGTCAAAAAGGCTTGTTGTTCGCAAATAGCTCGTGTTTGACTCGTTCGTTAAGTAAACGAGTTGAACATGAGCAATTTTTTTAAGCTTGAATTATGAACGAGCCGGACACGAACAACTATTAATATATTATGTATAATAATAAAAAAAATATTATGTATAGTTTAAATCATAACAGCTCGTGTTGTAATGTGGTTATGTGTTTTTTTTTTTACTCATAAATTTGGTCTAGATTTGAATCCAACTCTCTGCATATAATCTTTTCCAATTAATTTAATGAGCCAATTTTGAGCTGAATACCAACAAGAATATTTAAACGGAGTCAAAGGTGAACACAGTGTTCACGAGCCAATTTAGAACACGAGCCAATTTTGAATAAGCCGAAGACGAGCCAAGTTTGAGCTCGTTTATAGCCCTAATACAAATACTGCTCTTTTTTAATGTGATACTAAAGATTTGCATGACATTTTGTGTAAATATCAAAGTTTAGGTCTGAGATAAGTAAATACATGAGAATTGTGTGCTATGTATGTCGACGCCCCTTCTATTTACATAAATACCGGACCATTTTCATGTATTTAAGTATCCGCGGACTTAAACTTTATTTTTGACATTTATTCCACCCAAATATTTCGCATCGCATAAAAAATTCTACTATTTTAAACTATAAAATGTAAAATATACCCTTTACAAGTATGGGTAATATGGTATTTATGTAAAATTTAAAACTTAGGTTTTAGATATGTAAATTCATAGGAATTGAATGGCATGTATGAAAAATTTGGGTGGTGTGTCATAACAAATACCACTATTTTAAGTTTATAAGAGTGAAATATGCCTTGACAAGGATAAGGTGGCATATATGTAAAAATTAAAGTTTAGGTATTAAGCTATGTTAGCTATGTAAATACATGAGAATTGAGGGGTATTTATATTTGCAAATCTTTTAATTTCTTATTTGTGATGTTAAAAATTAGAAGGGTATTTAAGTCGATATTAAAATTAAGGTATATGGGATATTAAATGCATAATAATTGTTGGGTATATCTGTAAAACCCCCTTCAATCTCCTACCTTGGATGAGTACTTTCTCTCTCTCTCTCTTTCTCTCTCCAATAATTTTTATATGATTACATTTTACAATTATTTAAAAAGTATATAATTTGATTTTATATGAATTTATTATCTTCAAATATTAATAAAGCTAATAAATAATGCAAGGGTAAAGACAAAAATAAAAAAAATGATTATAGAAATATTGAGTGATTAAATAATTGAGCGATAATAATGTAATTTAAGAGCATTTCGAGACATTTAGCATAGAAATGATCGCATTAAAATATATAAAAAATACATAAATAATTATTGAAAATGTAAAATTAAGCTATATGGGAATGCAACGTAAGAAACAATAACCAGTCATATCAATTATCCCTTTCTCATGAAATGATCCTTTTTTTTATAGAGGAATATGTATTATATGTGAAGTTATATGTTCGCCCCTACTTTAATGATGGTATTACAAAATACTTTGGGTATTATACATGTATGGGCCTACCACTCGACTATCCACTGACTCAATCAATTATGCTGAATTGGGGTTACCAGTCGGCCTTTGATGATTTTCGGGTCAGCAAGACTGACTCGATCGAATTGGCTTTGCCGTTCAGTCGTTCTAGTATGATTGTCGATTGTTGATCCCTGGATGATGAGCTCTGATAGGTAGAACAAAATTAGGCTATCAGACAATGAGCGAACTATTGTAATCTGATATATTACTCATTCCTTGACGAGAGGGTCCTCATCGGAGATGTTCATGGGCTATGTTATTGCCAGTTATTGGCCTCTGAAAAGAAATCTCAGAGGTGATACTGAACTCATTCCTTCAGTCGGGCTACGATGATAGGCAGGCTGAAGCCTTTGTTTGGTTAGATTAACCTTAGTCCTCGGTTCAAGTGGTTTACGTCTGGTCGTCCTCTAGGCCTGGATCAAGGGGTTTACCTCGCCCTC